GAGTAACAAAGGCAGAGTCCACTTATGACTGAAGGAATGTCCTAGTTGGTATTGTTGTCAACTCAAGAACTGTTAAGATCAGATTAGCCTTGCATGTCTGTGAGGGATTTTCTTGGTTGCTAACTGAGATAGGTAGGAGGTTCCAGCCCACTGTGGGCAGTACCATCACTAGGTAGATGGGCCTAGACTAGATAAGAAAGCCAACTGACTATATGAGAGGGAGCAAGCTTTCCTCCAAGGTTCTTGCTCCAGTTCCTGCCCTGACTTCCCTCAGTGGTGGACTGTTACCTGTAACGGTAAGATGAAATAAACCATTTCCTCCCCAAGTTGCTATGGTCCAGATGTTTTATCACAATGAAAGAAAAACCAAATAGAACAAGGACCCTAAGTATCACTCACAATATTTCTGCAGAGACATTGTGAGAATAAAATCAAAGTCCCTTCGTATGACACCAGCAAATACTCAAAATCTGTCTCTTAGGGGCCTGGGAAGATGTCTCAGTGGATAAAGCTCAGGGGTGAGGGCCAGTTGACCCAGCATCTCTCTGGTCTCTGCAGGTGCCCATACATACATTGCAGACAACCATCCAGACACAAAAGTAAAGTAAAGAAAAAAGAACACAGTAATTTTTAAGACCCAGAAGCACCATATAGTATGTGTTATCTAGATTTACCACCGTTGCCCAAGACAGCTGAGAAGCGCGATAGGTAATGTGTACTATCATTAGCAATAGTTAGTGTGCTATCCCACAGTGCACAAAAGCTGTAGGAGCTGCATCTGCCCCCTTGAATCCAAAGGAAGCTTTAGAGAAGATAACACATCTGTGGGAACTTTAGCTAAATCAGCCCAAAATATGACTGTTTGTCAAAGGATTTTTTTTCCCTCTCCCTTTACCTCAATTTGCATCTCTTTTAAAAATATTTCAAGCTGACCAAGGCGATTTCTGTGAGTCACCTCCATCTCCAGCTGCCTGGGATGCTTGTGTCACCACTCACAGGCTGGGGCTCCTCATCCTGAGCTCAGCACAGAGGCAGCAGTGATGTCACCCTTCCAGAGGACAGGCACGTTACTCCACACCTCAAAGTGTCCTGACTGGGAAACCAGGATTCTGAAATATTTTAACAGAAATAATAAGGGAAGAGGTTGTCCTGTTGTTTGTTTTTCTGCATGATCTCTGCTATTGTCTGAAACTGTCAGAAAATCTAGCCATTGTGACACATGTCTATGATCTCAGCATGGGGAGGCCAAGACAAAGGAGCCTGAGGCCAGCTGGGTCTACATAGCAGTATCAGACCTGGGCTGCTAACAAGATCCCATTTCAGAGAAACAACAAAACTACTGTCACAAAAAAAGTAAAAGAGAAAAAGCAGAACAAAACAAACAAACAAACAAACAACCCGAAACCATCAGAGTATAAAATAGCCTTGTCTCAGTGTGGTAAGGGTTGTTTCTGTGATGTGTGTCAGGGGCTGTGTTCATTTCGTTACTGCAGCTATTTCTGTTTCAGTATATGACTGAAATGTGACTCAAATATGTTACTAGTATGAATTTCACAAAAAGGATATTTAAAATTTTTCTTTACTGACTGGGAGGAGCTGAGTAGGTGCTTTCTTGGTGAGCATGAAACCTAAGTTTGAGCTCTAAGGCCCATGTAAAAGAGCCAGGCACCACACCTAGAGCCCCAGTCATGTGGAGGTAGACAAACGTGGGTCATGGGTTCAGTGGCCATCCAGACCAGCTAGTGGGAAACCCTGTCTCCATTGAGAGGTAAGGCTTCTCAGCAAGAGAGAAAGGGGCCATAGCAATAAACCCTCTACCGAATTTCCCACTGCGATACAGCATATGGGGATATATGCATATGCATGTGCATATGTATGTCAGACATTACTGATTCAGCCATTTGCTCACACTGTCTGCCGAACTGAAGGCATGTGGCATGCTCCAGGGCCCTGGAATGTGCCCAGTCACCTTAGGGAGATGTTCCAGTCAGAAGTTCAGAGGAAAGGCTCCAAATTCCAAATTTAAGTTGGGGTTTTGATCTCGCTGGGGCCTCCAAATGTTAGTTCCACAGATGGGAGATGAAAGACTATCAACATAAACCATGGCCAAATTAATTAAAGCAGCTTTCTCTTTTATTTGTTGTACATGGGCTGTATCCTCCTAAGGTGAGGTTCAAGAGGTCAGCATTGGACACGGGGAAGACAAGGGGTTTTATCGTTCAGAAGTAGAGAGTTCCCAAACAGAGGTTCCCTATTTGCTGGGCAAATAGGTGGCATTACAGGAGCAGAATATAAACAGAATAAGTTGCCATAACAACCTCCTGGAACAAAGACACGGCGCAATGTGGTCATAGCAAAGTAATCATGACAAGGTAGTCACATCAAGTTTTAAACCAGGGTTACCATTTCCTAGAACAAGCATATCAGAATAAGCAGGAGGCATGATTATTCAAACACCCAAGAGGCAGAACTTGATTGATTATTGGGCATAATGAATGATAAAGAGGGATGAATTGGACTTCAGATACAAAAACAAGAAATATCCATTAAAAAATCATAAGGCTAGCTAGTGGCTGGGCTGCTTGGCTAGGTGGACATCTAATGCAGTCCCATGCATTGACAGAGGAGAATCCTTAAGGAAACAAACATCTTCATTCAGTACAATGCATAGATAAGATAACTGTGGCCTGGGCTTGGGAGATGGCTCAGTGGGTAAAAAGTACATGCTGTGTAAGCAGGAAGAACTGGGTTCAAATCCCCAGTACAAAAGGCTGGACACATAGTATGAGTGTCTGTGATCAGAGCACCCCCGTGAGGAGATGGGAAATGGGGACAGGAGAATCTCTGAATGTTCAAGGGATAGCTGTATTGGTGTGTGTAATACAAAATCAAGGAAGACACCTGAATGGAGATCAAAGGCTAGGAGGCTGAAGTTCAAGGTTGTCCTCTGACCTCCACATATACCAGTGGTATGTGTGCACTCACATTCACACACATATACACAAGAGTATCATGATCTGGCCAAAGACACTATTTATCTAAGATGAAACACCAAACTCATATTAATCAGTAATGCTTCTACAGACTTCTGGGAGTCACATTCTTAGAGCAGAGCAGAGGTACCCTGCCGTCCATAATTCGAGTAAGCATCTGACACCTTCCCTGGCAATGTTTCCCTCCTGTGGTGTCACACCCTTGTCTTACTGCAATGTCAGTCCACGTTGGAGTGCCCTTCCCTCTGCTGAGTGACGATCTGACACCCCTGTGTTTGCTCCACCACTGCACTGCAAATGTATTTTCAGATTTTCATTGGTTGTGTGTCAGCTAATGTTATGGTGCCTGTAGATGCATTTTGGAGTCCTACAACATAAGTCAGTCACCCTGAAAATTTGGTATCTTTCTGTGTTATACCAAAATAACTTTGCTTATTCGAGGAAGAAAATGCCCTACGTCTCTGTGTTTTTAATTAATTAGTTCTGTGGCCTTCTTCTGAAGTGTGAGGGCTGGCCAGCAGGGTAATCATAGCCCTTGGAGCTAGAGTTACAGACAGTTGCCAGCTGCCCACTGTGGGTGTCGGGATCCAAACAAGTCCTCTGCAAGAGCAGCAAGTGCTCTCAAACACTGAGGGAGCTCTTTCTCCAACCCTTACACGTTTGTCTTACATCATTAGTCTGCTGGATTCTGTCAGACTTAGCTTCAATCTTTGGACTCTTCCAAACCAGAATTTCAACCTTTGAAATTACTAAAAACAAAATATTGAGCTCTATTTACTGAGTAAGATAAATCAAATCTACTTTAGAAGGAAATAGATTTTCATATAGTAAGTTTCAAAAATGACAGACTCATTTGGCTCTGCAATAGAAAGCATTATGTTTATAGTATCCTGTCAAAGCTCTGAGCCAGATCAGCATTTAGATATTTTGAGAAAAATTTAAAGCTTATCTTCCTTGTTACTATTTTAAAGGATTATAATCTTTTATCCCACCCAGAAATTCAATTTATAAGATTCAATCTAAACAATAACTGTTCTTAGTACAATTAGAAAACATATATCCTTTTTTATATCTGATATTTTGCAGTTTCTGTAAGTTCTGGCCCCTTGTTATGAATTTCTGGAGACAGAAGGGAGATGAGTTCCTAATGGTGGTGGCCACAGGCGCTTCCTCACAGGGACCTTTTTCTTGTCATAATACACAACTGCATAACTTTTTAAATAAGAGATGTTGTTGTTGTTGTTGTTGTTGTTTTGAGACAGGGATTCAGGTAACCAGAGCTCACTGTGTAGCTGAGGATGACCATGAATTTCTTTATACAATATTTTTATTTGTTTAATTTTATGTGAATAGGTATATAATATGTTTGCAGTACCCACAGAAACTAGCGAGGGTGTCAGACTTCCTGAACCTGCAGTTACAGTCAGTTAACTAATATAAAATTAGTTTTATATGTATGGCTGTTTTTTTCTGCATATATATCTGTGTACCACATGAGTGCCTGATGCCCACAGAGGCCAGATCCCCTGGAATGAGAGTTAAGAGCCACCATGTAGGTGCTGAGAACAACACCCAGGTCCTCCGGAGGAACAGCCCGTGCCTTTAACCACTGAGCCATCTCTCCAGCCCCTGTCTAGCTTTTTAAAGAGTAATTTCTGATAGTTTTCCACTTAGAAAGCCTTTGCTTTTCTCGTTGTTTGGTTTTGAGGCAGCGTGTTACTATGTTGACCAATCAAAATGGCATCAAATCTCTGTGTAAACTAGTTCCTGTCATGCCTTGCCAATGCTATTCTTGATATTAGTCAACATTTATTTTTGTTTGTGTGTGTGTTTGTGTGTGACATGGCACATGCATGGAGAAGAGAAAAAAATGTGGGCTAGGTTTCTCCTCTCGCCGCTTCAGTTCTCAGGACCAAGCTCGGTAAGCAGGCTCGCTGCTGGGAAGCAGTTTTAACCACTGAGCTGTCTCCCTAGGCCAACATTCTTATTGTTTCTTTTCCCCTTCAGGTATTCTTGGCGTCATCAACTGAGAGAATTTAAAAGTGAATACAGAGTCGTTGCGCTGGATTTGAGAGGTTATGGAGAGTCGGATGCCCCTACTCATCAAGAGAGTTACAAACTGGACTGTCTAATTGCAGACATAAAGGATATTTTGGACTCTTTAGGTAGGTTTGCCTTTTAAAAAGTATTCTCTCTCTCTCTC